TCTATTTTTGTTTCCACAGAAAATGAAAAGATGTGGATTCCTTCCAGACTAATGTGGTTTGATCACGCCAGACCGCCTGAAACAGAGTACAAGCTGATCCTACATTCCAAACAGCTGGACAAAACAGCCCTACAGACTACAGCTAGGATATCTGAATCTTCTTCGAATCCCCCAAGACAGCGCCCCTTACCAGAAGGAGTAGTTTGGAAAGAACGACGCCCAAATTCCCAAATATTGTGTATAAATGTTTGTTTTCATTTAATTGGACTTTGTTATATAAAATTAAATAAAAATTAAATAAAAATAAATAAATAAATAAATAAATTGTAGCTATAGGTTCTTCTTTAGTGGAAGGTGGAAAAGCGGCTCTCTGAATACATAAAGTATTACTGTGGTCTAAAGATTGCTGACTAGTACAGTGTTGTTGAAATGAAGACACGGTATACATCGAAACCACTGTTAGATTAAGACACTTCCTACAACTTTTATCAGTTCTTTAAATAATGGAGCCAGTTCCTTTTCTAGGCTGACAATTAGTCCTGCGTTGGTGTTACTGCTGTCTATGAAACTCACCATCAGAGGTAAACGATCGAAATCACTTCACCTGGTAGGTATTATAGTAACAGATGATACCTTTATTTCTTTAAAGTCCGAGTTTGCTGCCTTGGTCTGTTTCTAGGGCAAGAGTGGGTAAGAAGCCAGGCCTCCGGGCGTGCTCTGGAGCAGTGTGTTAGCCACTGTAATGACAGGCACCCTATCTGATACAACAACTGCGTGGAGCCCTTCAACACTTGGCAACTTTTTGTGCAGGAACCGCTTTAGATCATCTGCCATGATGAGCCCCTTTCTCTCACAGGATCAGTCTCCACTTCTCAGCAGATCCACATGGCTCTAGCCTGGGGCTGAATGTCCCTGCAGTTCAGTTGCTTCTCTGAAGCTGCCTGGCAAGCCCCTGTCACGTGACTCTGAGTGTTGTTTTCAATGAGCACCAAATTCAGTCCTTAGTAACACCACACATGTTCTACTTTGTTACCCTTGAATACAAGTTTATAATTTTGCTTTGGCCAATTTTCTTTTGAGATAATCATTTTCCCTGTTCAAACTCCAAAATTCTCTCAAACAGAGGTTTTTTGCTTGGCCCAGGGAGGTGGGAAACCTGGACATAGAGGCCAAACTGTTCTTTTGGGATAAAGGCCCTAACACAGACATTCCCAAGGCTACTGGGCACTGATAAACCGAAGCAACAGCGATTCACAACTACTTCAAGGAACTCCCACTCTCAAGTGAAACTGTATGCTACCACTTAAAAACAGTATAAACACATACACACACACACACACACACACACACACACACACACACACACACACACAAACTTACTAATTAAATGCAAACTCAGGAAATGAACTTTGACTCCTTGGGGAAATTTACCCGTAACCAACACTGCAAAGCTTTCTTGTGACTTTTGGGAAAACCATTCAGTTTGAAAATCTTCAGTTTGTAAAATCACATTTCATAAATCCAATGACTACACAAAGCTTCATTTTCCAACAAAATAAAAATGAAATTTGGAAGCTGACCTGAAGTTACACTTCTAAGAAGATCTTTCTACCACTCCACAAAATGTACAATATGCATGCTCTACCAGGATGCTTACAGCTAGACACAGCATTAGCTCTTAAGAAATAATCTATTTGTAACTGTTATAAAGTGACATTTTCCTGCTCAGAAAGAAAGAAAGAAAGAAAGAAAGAAAGAAAGAAAGAAATGAAAGAAAGAAAGAAAATTATAGGTCTGTTTACAGGTCCCAAATCCTCTTTTGGCTGCTAACAAATGCTAAAGTGATAAAGCATAGACTTGAAAATTCTACTTTCAAATTGTGTCCTCTGCCAACATCATATAATCAATATGATTTATTTAAGGGATTCATTTCTGATCTATTTTATCTTTTTTTTTAAGCACTTAATACACAGTGATTTTTTTTTTTTTCGGTGATGAGCCCACAGGTACTGGCAGCAGAAATGAAATTCCAACATGCTATTTCCTATCTGTGAGGATATGGGCAAGTTATTAAGCCTCCATTTCATCATCTGCAAAATGGTACTTAAGAAGACCATTCACAGGATTAAACATGCTAATGAGTACCAAGCTTTGGGTGAGCCATCAATAATATTAATTTGAGTATTATTAAACTTATTACCCATCATTTTCTTATTACTTACAATTCTACCACACCTGGAGTCTATACTACTTAGTCATTTCCTGATGTCCCTGTTTCTTCCACCTATACTAAGCCATTATCTTCCCAAAGATGAGAGATCCTTTTCGAAGACAAAAACAATTATTCCAGTCCCCCTTTGTACATACAGACATAGTCAATCAGAAAGTATTCCCAGCTGCCCATCGCACTAGCGTGCCCTGGCTACCTGGCCTGACTATACTCCCTCTTCACCTCTCGTCCCCAGTCCCCTTTAAGCTTTAAGCAGTCATCTGTGCACGGCCCCACATTGTGCTCTTTCACTCTAGAGAGTTCTGTCCATGTCCTGTGGCTGTCATATGCTAGTCCAAAGGCTACTTCTCTAGCTGACACTCCTATCTTTCCACAAGTCATATTCCTTCTCTTCAAAAACACTTAGCCTGACAAATGCGTTACCTGTTTAAGGGATCGTTTTTCCCCATGTCTGCCTTGCCTCCGAGGTTATAAGGTTGTAAATACTGGGAGGTACAGCTCCCAGTTTTGCTCCTCCTGTTCCTTATAACCCAGTTCAGCCCCAACTGAAGGGAAGAGGATGACAGTAAATACTACAATAATAAATGAATGAACGCACACAGGGAGAGGCTAAAATGCCCAGTCTCAAAATGCTGCCTCGGCCCCCGAGTTGTTTCCTTAACACAGAGACAGCGTCTCTTCTTACTTCTTCCGTCTTGCCCTTCCTTTCTTTCCCTCCCTCTTTTCTCCCTTTTCAACACTGTTTTAGCTTGGCTTTCTCTTCTCTTCTCTTCTCTTGACTCAGATGCTCACAGCCCGGGCAATAGAGAAGACCCGAGAGGAAGGAGCTCAGGCGGCAGGGCGGCGCCCGCGGGCCGGAAGTGCGGCGCGCGGCCGGAAGTGCGGCGGGAGGAAGCGGCGGCCCGGCGGCCCGAGGCTGAGGTGGGTAATGGCGCTGGCGTTGCTGCGAGCACTTGGTCGGCGGCTGGAGGAGGCCGCGAGCCCTTCGCAGTGCAGCGTGCTGCAGAGTTCCATTGCAGTTAGACAGGATTTAATTAAGCTGAAAGCTATAAATCCCTGAGCCACTGGGGGCAGATTGTAAACGCGCACTTGGGTTGGCGCTCTGGGAACTGAATAAGGGATGGGAGGAAGAAAACAGCTTTTCGAGGAAAGCAGAAAATGTCTCAACTCATGCTTCTTCCAGTGATTCACAGATGCCCTGGTCCCGGGTTTAATTGAATTCTATGAAATGGCAGTATCACACTTGACAGCCTGCTGAGTTGACTGCCTTTTTAAATAAATGTTTTGGAGCAGTCGTGTTGACCTTTAATTGGGGTGAAAAGGTTGAAAAGTGCAAGAAGGAACGTTGTGAGTGCCAGGCCCCTCTGGACCCAGCTGTCTGGACCCCGTCTTTGCTTTATTGGGCAGAAGCAGCCCTCTGGGCTGTGGACAATAGAAGAATAAATCAGACATTGCAGTTCTCATCAAATACTTAGCCCTGTCTCTCACCCCTGACAAATACCAACTAATACAATTTTTAATGAGTCCAAGGGTAGAAAGTCTCTGGCAGTTGTCACTAACATGAATAAGTATCTGATTGTTTCTAAGGGTCCCTTTAAGTGAAGTTTCCCTTATTCTTATTAATCATGTTTATATAAAACTGATTTCTAGTGTTCTTATAGAAAAAAAAAGTTATGCTCTATATGACCCAAAGAGGAAAGATTACCAGTTCCTTAAACACGGGGATGGTACTTAGAACAGGTTATATCCAGACATCAGTAGTCCATTTCCCAACCTAAGATGGGCTCCTGTAACTACACATTGATTGCCTTGGTTAATTAACCACTCTGGCTATCTCAGTAGAACATTGGACAAGTTGAGATGGCTCTTGGAGCCCACAGTTATCTCATTCAGTAAGATTCTGTGGAATAGCTTATAAACATGCACATGATGCACTCTACCAATATTTAGCACAAGGTGTATAACAGGTAAAACAACAGAATAAAATGCAAGGGAAACAGCCTGGTGGTGGTGCTTATCTACAATCCCAGCACTATAGTTTAGGCTGGCAGATCTTAAGTTCTAGACCAGCCTGGAGACATAGTGAGATGTTGTTTGAACAAGCCACCACCAGCAGCAGGCATAAAGCATGGAAACACTCATGTCCTGGAAAATGCTGAATTATTGTTTTCCTGAGATAAGGCAGAACTAATCATGGCTCTGTAAGAACTGTTGGAACCTAATAACCTGGGGTCCTGCTGTACTGAGGAATTGCCTCGAACTAGAAAGGTGCAGTTGTGAAAATTAAAATTTATGGGGTACTTTAAACAGGCTCCAAATTTTCCTCCATGTTTGCTGTGGTCCACTTGAAGCTACCTGTCAGAGAAGGATCAGTAATTTTTGTCTCTTTTGCTAGAGAAATAAGCAGTTTTATTTAGACAGACTATTGACAGGTAAGTAATAGGAATAGATATTTTTTTCTAACTTGAGAATTTATTGAGCTATGTTTCTATTTTGTTCCAATACAGTATTGTACTCACAGGGGCACTGTACTGAGAGGCATTATGGAGAGATGCCTTCAAAATAAGTTTGTTTTAATTAATTTTTTTTATTATTTCATATCATGCATATGCTCTAGCTGGCCAATATATTTAGTTATTAAGTCTCATGCTTGGGACTTTAAATATAGTAAGATGTTGAGGTGATGTGGTGAAATATAGTGAGGGGTTTTTATGATCTTTATTGTAAATACAATTTTTTTGCACTGTTTTATTCAAGGGATATACATAAAAAAAAAATCAAGAGCCTGCTGGAATAGTTCCTGAATGAGATTTTATTTTTGTTTGCAGTTGTTTTGAAGAGGGATAGCCTTTGGCTCAGGTATGTGTGGCTATACATATAACAGGACCAAGTAAACTTCTCCAACTCTGTATATCTAGCAAGCTTTAGGGACAGTCTTTCGGGGGAAAATATATAAAATGAAATGTTGTGGCTAATTCACACAAATACATGATTCCACACCACTGACCCATTCCTGTACAGGTAGGCACAGGGATCAGAAAGTATAAAGATAGTACCTCTCTTCTTTTTCTAGTTCTTATCCAAGACTTAACTTCCCAGAGATCTAAACAAAACTTAAAATGTCTGATGTTTTTAGAAAGTGTCAGTCTTTGGCTCTAGAGGCTAGAAGACATAAATACACTGATGCTGAAGGCTTGGCAGGGGTCCCCCGGCTATGGCCTATGGCAGTAGAAAACTAAAAAGGGGACCAACCCTGTATAGAAAGGGCTCCTTTTCAGTCAGAGGGAACAACAATAACCACCCCCCTCCTTTTCACCATAATCTTCTATGACCAAATATCTTCTAGGCTCTACTCCTTAAAGGTTTGTCACCTTGCCATTGTAGTATTGGGGGTGGAGCTTCCAGCACTTGAACTTGCTCAAATTGTATCCAACACATAACATCAGTAATATCCAGTAATGACTGATTTACTTTGCTAGCCTTCATTACTATGCTGTTGTATTGTCAGTCTTCCTCTACCCTAAGTTACTTAAGGGCAGGGACAGGATCTTGATCACTGCTATGTGTCTAGTACCTGACAGTTCATACACTCACTTCATGCTATAGACAAAAGGCAATGTCCCTGGAGGAAGGCTACTCCTATAAAGAACACAAAAACACCATTGGGAAAGCAGCAGAGAGAAAAGAGAAAAACAATGCAGTGACTAAATGCAGTTAGAAGTAATTCTCTGATTAACAGCTTGAACCAGGGAAGGGTATGTTTGAAAATCCACAGATTGTCACCAAGCTGCCCTCTAAGCAGATATGCCTGGCGAATTATAGAGCATTTGTTGTGTTGAGTTGACTATGCAGGCTGAAAGCCCAACAGCTCTGTATCTACACTCCTTTCAGGTTTACCATACTCAACCCTTCACCCAAATATCTGTTCAGCAAATATCTGAAGAATTATATGTGAAGGTATGCTAAATTACTAACTTACCTGGCTGTCAGCACCTTAATTTGATCCTGTCTCAAGGGGAAAGGACCTGTCACATTACTATTTTAAGCTAAATTACTTAAATAACAGTATCCCAGTGGAGTTCAAAGTTCAGCGTATACACACACACACACACACACACACACACACACACACACAGAGTTGTGGGGTACATACTGCTTCCTTCTGTTTACTTGATTACAACCAAAACTAGAATGTTATAGTTACAAACAAATGAGCTTCCTCTTATTGTTCCTGTACTTTCTCATATTAATAATGAAATAATAGGAGAATGGATTTTAGTTCAGTCAAGAGGAAAGGATGTGACATTGAATTATTTGATTTTTTTTACTTCTTAAAATATATGGTTTTCATAAGCTAAGAAAAAGAACAGCTATATTAATAGAAATTCAGCTGTGGCCATCTGAAATATACTGTGGAAAAAGAGCTCTCCATCTTCAAATAGAAACTAATGTCGATCTTGTTAGATTTATAGATAAGAACCCTGTATTATAATAAGAGAGTTTTCTGCCTGAAATGTAGTTCTTTCTTTTCATGAACCCTAAAGTAGTGTTAAACAAAACATATAAACATGCCCTTGTTCAAGGAAAAACTAGGAATAAACAAAACATAAAAGGTACAAAAGAATTGAACATAGTTTCCTTATCTAAAGTCACTTCCAAGTTCCAAAATTTGAAAATATTTTATTAATGATAGCTGTGGAAGAACAAATTTAAGACTCAGGAGATTATAGACTCTTATACAACTCAGAGTTGCCAGGGCCTGGTCACAGAGTGGGTAGTTCTCAACATTAACATTCGGATTAAACTCTGCTTTGTACATGCTTATGACTTAATTGATATTAGAAAAAACAATGAATTGCTGGATTTGCAACAAAACACCTTCCAGATCTTCTGTAGTTGTCTTTGGAACAATGAATTAGAAATAAATAGACTATTAGTGACAGATGAAAGATATTTTGAATTGCAAATGTATTTTTAGCAGCGAAATTAGTATTACTATCTGGACATAATGTGACTAAAATGTTTTAATGAAATTGTCTTTTCTCTGGGTCAGTATTAAATATCAGGGACTGGGTCATGTTGGTTAAGAAGGATAATCTCAAAAGGAGGAGAAGGCTGCATAACTCTTTATGCACTTTGTTCACATTCCTTGAACTAGATGGTTTTGCCCTCAATCGTAACACTATCTTTATGGGAGAATGGAAGTTTCAAATTTGTTTTTAAACTCTGTTAAGCCCTCATGTCTGAGATAAGCTAACCACATTGTTCAGATTTTCTTGACTTTAGGAATGGGTTTGTAGCCATTATGTCATAATTGAACTAAACATTGTTGCATACTCTCAATTTGCACTGTGCTGCTCTGACTCTAGGCCATTTGCTGAGTCAGTACATTTGAGGTTGAGTATAGAAGGAGGAGGGCAGCATGTGAAGACCCCATTGTGTTGATTAGTCCAGAATTCCCTCTAAAGTACTTCTAGATACTATGAGGCATGTTCTGTGGAGCCCATGACTTTACTTGATTAACATTGTTTTATTTTTTTCTCAGTTGAACATTTCCAAGGGACCCTTTCCTTGACCCTTACTGTTGTCACATGCACCATCCCATTTCAGAATGACTGCTAAGGTCTAAAGATTTTTAAACACTTTTGCATGCATGCACTGAAGATTATTTTCCTGCTGCATGGCTGTCAACTGACTACAGGCCAAGGCAAGGACAACAGTGCTTCTAGATGTGGGGAAAGAATGCCAAGATGAAGAGGATGTGTCATTTAAAAGTCTAATAGTATGTTCAACTCCCATGGTTAAACACTTTCTAGACAAGTGCCTGGCTTCTCTAATGTCAACTCCCCCATTTCCCAGCTTAGTGCTTTCTTAAACCACTGCCTCCCAGTTATGAGTAAAGAATAAGAGAAAGCAATTGATTGTAAGCAAGTGTGTTGACACTTGTGTATGGATTGCAAAGTGAATTCTGCATTTTTTTTTCAGCTTCCAAAGTTACAAATGTGTTCAATGCCTTATGCAAGCATGGGCCATTCCTGTGCTATTTCTTCAGTTTGGGATTGCCCTTTCTTGGGTTACAAGGACATTTGAAACCCAAAGCCTGTATGCTTCTTTTGGGTTTCTGAAAAAATGAGAGATCAAGGCCAAGTAGTAGAATTTCCATTTCACAGTTGGCAAAACTAAAGCCCAAACAGATGAAGAGTTTCCTGCATCTCAGAACTTTGTGGCAGTTGTACTTCTCTTTGGAATCTATGTTTACGGAATCCTAGCCCGAAAAAATATATTCAGGGAATTCAGACAGATAATTCCAATGTAAACTCTACAGCAAAATGAACTTTCAGCTCTAAATGAACAATTATACTATTTACACTTAGTTCCTCTGATAAGTTTGAGTGTGAATTGTGTTTATTTAAAATATTTTTGATATCTACAGCAAACTTATTCAGAACTTGCTTAGGACAAGTTTATCTTTAAAGATAATAATTCCAACTTAACACTTTTCTTAGGGGACTTCTGATATATATGGTTTGAGGAAATCATTAGTATTATAATAATGACTATTTTTTTCTGTCCATAAAAATTAAGGACAGGATCAGAAAAAGAGCCACTGGAAGGGGATTATCCTTTGTTTAAAACCTGTCAGTGGAAAAATTATTCTTGAAAAGCTCAGTTTGGGTGTCCTGGTTTGAATTTCTGCAAATTTCTGAGTGAATTAAACCATGACCTCATGCCAGGCTATTTGTTATCCAGTTTTGCATAGACACAGTACTGTCCATTTAAGTACTGTTCACTGTCTGAAATGTTGAGCTGTATCCAAAGTATTTTTCAGTCCTGCAGTTTCTCACTTCTAAAACCACTGTTGCTAGGAATGTAAGTCTGCTGTCTGTGGCCAGTAAAAGCAAAGTTCCAGAAAAAAAAAAATCATTGTCATTATTTATAAAATGCCTCTTAGAATTATTCCAAAACCAACTATTAAGCTTTGGTTCTATGTTCTGTTTTTATTTACACAGCTTCTTTTAAGATAGGTAATATTTTTCTCTATTCTTTCCTCCTTTTTTAAGTTGTTAAATCAGGCAAGAACCAGTCATGGGTGTGTGTTAGTAGCAGGCGTTTGTTATGGGATTAATGCCTTTGGAGCAACACCAGATACATCTCTTCTGGCTCATAAATGTCATTTCACTGTCCCATTGTAGACAAACCCTCATCACTGATAGGTGATGGACTGCTTGCATTTGGAAACACCCTTTTCTACAGCTTCTATGGTGACAAACTTTGTAGCTTTCCTCCTACCTCCAGTTATGCTGCTTGTCCTGGCTTCTCTTTGCTGCATCCCTAGAAGTTGGGTCCCCTTAAAGATCTACCTTGAACCCTCCTTTTCTGTACTGCTGAGATTATCTCATCTAGTTTCACAGCTGCAGATAACAATCTTTATACCAACAAAACTCCAAATTTTGCCTTTAGCCCTGGTTTTTTACATGAGTACCAAACCTATATATATCACTGTTCGCTTAAATCTCAACATTTCCCTAACTACTAACACATTAATTTTCCAAAGTATTGGAAGCAAAACACTGTTCAAACCCATCAGTGGTTTCCAAGACATACATGTAGAATTGCACATGACTTGACAACTATTAACAGATTCTCTCTAAAGTCCTATACTATTCCTCCTTCCTAGGTGATTTTCCACTATGCTTTCTCTTTGCTCAGCTCACGTTTTTCCCACCATCAAGATCCAACCCTTGATTTGGAGTGCTTCCTGTTGTCTATATATCCATAAATCCTAAATGAGTTGAAGCCCTTCTCTTGTGACAGTATCTCCAGTCTCAGCCCACAATACTCGTTTTTTCCTTTCTCTC